GCAAAAGAAAAAAAACAAAAAACAAAAACCCATAATAACGTTTTGGAGACCCTTCTTTTCAAACGAAGGGAAAATTTTATATCTCAAACGCGTTTGAACGCCTCCACAATGACACACATGAACGCATTGAAACGCGTCTGGTTGCAAATGCGCTCCAGGCAGGTTTCGATGCGTCCAGTCGTTTCATTCTGGAGGCTTTCAAACACAAATATTCACATGGGAAGTTTCAGGATCTTGATTTCTTCAAATTTCTTGAATTTTTACATTTTCTGATGAAGATTTTAGTCACAAGGAACGTCACCACAATAACATATTCTTTCTCTTTGAAATTAGACTAATTTCAAGTTTCGTATTTTAAGGATTTATTGAAAAATCTTGTAAAAAGGCGTTCAAACACAAATATTCACATGAGAAGTTTCAAGATCTACACATCGCCGGATCGAAGTCGCCCGATTGGATCCTTTCAGTTCTAATGATTTCTGGAGATCGGATGTCCGAGCGGATCCGGCGATCGGAATCCGCTCAATTTCTTTGTATTCCGATATCTGGATCCTAGAGGGCCCTCTGGTTTGTATTTCTTTATTTCTTTCTTTCCTGTGCGCATAATACAGTCACCATTTCGTTTTGGGGCAGCAGCACTTTCAATACGACACTGCAGAAAATGAAAAGCGAGAAGTTTTTCTTCTCAAATTCTTAATGGTGTGAGTCATCGCTCACACTATTCAACGGACGTGTTGTCCTAGCTAGTGGGTCGTTCTCTCGAATGAACTGAGAGAGGAGCCACCAGAAAAGCCACCAGAAAATGAACGAAGAAGAATATGAATTAAACAAATATAAGACTTTTTAGCCTTCTAACACCTGAAAAACAGTCACACTCTGCTAAATCCAGCGAAATCCGATGTCTGGAACTCGAAGTATTCGGTCGGATCTTTTCCGACATCTTCTGGCACGGATTCCAACATAATCCGGATGTTCCGACGTCGGATTCTTCGGGAACTTGTCTCCGGAATCATAGATTTCGGCTATTTCAATAAAATTTCTAAAATATAGAAGGTGAGAAGAGCAAATTTTGTCATACGTCTTCTAATAACACACTTAGAAGTGTCAGTTTATTACATGGTTGTATTGAATGAATATTTGAAGGAGAATATGTCTTCTTTAAGTAGCAGCTCTTCATATATTATAATATATATAGTGAAGACATATACATATAGTCTATAGGCTATATGTATACCTACAGGAAAAAAGTTTTCACATTTTGCACGCTACGACAACGCTGATAAGCTTTTGTAATCGAAATGGTCTGTTAACGAGGGGCAGCTAAAGAACGTTCTGTTAAAAGCGTAAGAATGGATAAAAAAACTATGGTGCATATATGGTGACTGTTAACCGGGCGTTTCCTAACCATTAATCAACGGTGTAATAACAGTCTGTTAAGTATTATCAACTTTTGAATTATTTGGTCTTGCTGTAGCTACTAGTATATATACGACACTGATTTTCTTGAAAAAAAAAACTTAAAAATGCCCTTCCATCCAATACAGGTCATTTCATGCAGGTCATTGAAACCTGATCAGAAATATACCGGGAGTGTCAGATAAAACAATACCAGAAACCAAAACAATTATAAATTATAAAAACATTTTTCAGATTAATACTCAAAAATAAACTTTTTTTAGATTACAGCAAAAAACGATCGATTAACCATACCGTCTTTGGTATGGACTTTTACTTTTGTAAGCACTTACGAGCGTGTCAAGAAATGACGAATCCCCAAAACTTATCATGCGTGATCGATAACAGAATTTTGCATAGGATAATTGATTAAGGACCATTATTATTTGAATATGAAACATAGCAGAATAATCCCTTCCTCCAATATTTCTCAATAATTTATTGAACAAGGACAAATAATGATATTGAAGGAATATCAGAAAATAATTCAACTTACAAAAATAGATTCATTAATGAGCTAAACATAAATAAGGCAAAAAACATTACCCTTCTCATATTTTTCTGCTTATCAAAAGCACTTTTATTGACGAATATCGCATGAATGTTGTGACATTAGTACAAAATGAACTGATCCTGTTGACTTTTTTTTATCATAACTCTTCACATTCTATCTGATGTTGCTTGTATCATTTTGGTTTGATTCCACTGGAAAATCACATCTTTAGATCCAACGTCAGTTGCACTTCGAGAACAAAACTAATGTTATCACGATAATCAGCGTAGTAGGCTATGTTTCCATGTGACAGAGTTGCAGCCGTTTCAGAATTTTCCGACCAGTCTGGTCTAGCCGATTTATTTTTTGAATCGATCCGGTCCGGTCAGTTATAAAAACTTTTTCAACCGGTGAAAAACCGGCTGGTTAAAGATTTTTTCAGATAGAATATCAGATCAGACAAATAATGTCTGATAACAAAAATCTATTTTATTTGAGATAAAACACTTTTTATTTCTCTCATGAAGTTGAACCAGCGATCCGGTCAGATCAATGCCGGTTTGTCGGACGGTTACAACTCTGCCATGTGGTTTCGACATTTGAAAATGTAACGATAAAAAATTATCGTATTCTCCAAAAAAATCAGCACCATGAGCAATAATAATGTGATAGAAACTTCGGGTTTGAGTAGATTTGTAATAAAATGATTGTTTTATCTGCAAACATAACAGATAATTTAACTTACGATCTCAGTTTACTAAAGAAAATTGCTCAGAAACCTTGTTTTTTCATTAAACATCTTCTAGAAATCCTTCAGAACAAAATAATTTTTCAATCAAAACTACATTTTTAGATAAAGAAAATTTTTCTCTACCCAATGAGATATATTCAAATATTCAAAGTGAAGTTCATTTATCACTGAATTTTTAATAAAGATGCTTCCAAAACTTGGTATAAGCTTTATTCTGTCAGAATACAAGTGGAAAAATATTCCATTATAGTATTCTAAACGAAACTTATCAAAAGACACAAAAGCAATTTTGTACGAATAGAGATTCGAACATATGAACTTAGCTTTGTAGTAAACTGCAAAACTAAATCCACTGTTCTGTATCTATATTCTGTACAACGATTGAAGTTGTGCATTCGACTCGATGTTAGCAGTAGTCATTTTTTTGTTCTATTTTTGGCTCTTAAAACGTGTCAATTCAAATTCCAGATTTCCCAGAATCACATTATGAAAGTCAAAATCAAAGAAAACCAATATTACCAATAGATTCAACATGTTCGAAAACCTCTGGGCTCCGAGGTTTAGGTAATAAGCATACACCCGCTAGAAACTGCATCGATTTTTCTCTTATTTGTCATGCTGTCATTTAATAATGTTATAGTGGCTAAATAACTCATATTGCCTTGTCAGTTAGAATTTGAATTATATAATTCTCTTTACCGCTTGTTGCCGGTAAAAATGATTGACTACCGTGTAATCTAATGAATGGTAGTGTTCGTACAATAGTACTCCGTATCCTATATGTCTACCTGGAAATCAAAAACAACTTATAACTAAACTGATTCTGAACGATGAATAACTTTACCTGCTGTCACTTGAACAGCTTCTCGCACGATGATCTGAATAAAATATAAAACTTGTGGATAGTTTAATATGAATGAAATCATAGCTGCCATATCTTACGGTTTTAAGAATGCTGCCTACTTTCAGTTTATCTTCAAAGAACGGTAAAACACTAAGTTTGAACGGCGTCGTTGAGAGCTCTAAAAACAAGAAAGAAAAGAATTTTGAAGATGTTTGAAAATAAAGTATACCATTTTACATATTGAAAGGCTTCAAGTCGATCTTTATGAACAGTTTTCGATGCCAGAATGTGTCTTGTTTGTTGGCATGTCATTAGTATTAAACGATAAGTGAGAATGGAGTAAGGTAGTAGAAACGACATATCAAATATATATTTAACCGACTTCATGATCATTATGGCTTTGATACAACCTTTTGAACATGAAATCGATGACAGAATATGTTCTGCCTAAAAAGAAGTACAAAACAGTTCATTTCAAGTTCATCACTCTGAATTTTACATACATACTTGTTCCCCATTGACGAAACCTCTGGAATAATAAAGTATTTCTAGTTTTTTTCCGGGTCTGATGTTTTCTACAACAATCATATAAAACTTAAATTACTGCTTAAAAACTTGTAAAATTTTTCCTATACACAATGTGATTTCTGTTAAATGTTATATTAGCAGCATGCTGGCATCATTATTAATAAAAATAATATCTTAATAGTATTGTTGCAATCATATGTCGTGCTTGTTGACATATCATTGATATTTAATGCTAAACGGTTTTTTCCTATTTGTTCTTAAATTTTATGAAATCGCGTGAAATTTATGAAATTTCATTGAGCCATACCAACTGGTGAAAATATGTAACATTAGTCACGATGAGAAATGATGAAGGAAAGAATTTGAATATATACTCAGCAGGTTAGCAATTTTTATACAATTTTCAAGTAATTCGACAAAATATTTATGAAATATATTATTTATATCATTCAATGAAAAATTTGTTATCGAAAATATAATATTACCGAATGTGATGTAAAATCATTTATACAGTTACAGTTATAGACTTCGTAAACGAATAATCTCTAAACAGTAGGTATAATCACTTTAGATAAGTGATAAAGATTTTGGAAAATAGTATGAAATGTATATTCGAAATCTGTAGAATTTTCTAATTTTTATAAATTCTTTTATTTAATTATAAAACAATCTCTTTCATTAACTTTTATTTTTAATCCACTAAGGTTTAATGATGATGGATGAAAAACGTCATGTTCGTATACGTGAACATGTACATAAACATGATGGGGTGATTAATCAAATTGAATTTCAATTTACTGAAGATTCGTCTGGTGATGACAAATTAGAACGTTACTATAGTTTGTGGTTAACACGCGATCATTACAATAAAGCGATACGACATTTTCGTCAACTGGACCCATTAACATTTCAGGAATATATCGATACATTAAGACCATTGATTGCTGGTCACTGCTGTCAAGAAAATGAATTAAGACGAGCATTCGCCATAATAGATGAAAATCGAAGTGGAGCAATTGAAGTACAAGAATTATATAATTTTGTCGGTATCATCGGTCGATCAACAACAGAAGAGAAATTATTACAATTTATTGAGCGAGTTAGTCAAGTACCTGGACAAATGGATTATAATGAATTCAAACATTTTGTTAGACTAGGTCATGGACGTGAAATGCTTGTACATATTAGTATGGAGCAATGAATATAATTATTACTCATACAGTTTGTTGAATGATAAGAGACTCTTTTCTTTAGCATAATTGATGAGAGCTATCTTTTATAAACTATATAAAAGAAAAAATATGTAAGAGTTTTTTCCTCGTATTGAAATCGTCAGCATTTTGAGTTTGGCTCTTGAAAAAGTCTTACTCTCTCGTGTTTGCTACAACGTTTAGTATAAGTTAATAAATTAATGGAAATTATCAACCGAGGGCTCTTTCAACATTTTTTATTTCCCTTTTTTACATTCAAAATTTGTTTTTTTCTCAGCAATCACAGTCTATCTTTTGAACGATTTGTAGTTATTGAATACTTTGTTAAGAGGTTAAATGATACTGCAATTGATTACATACATATACGATTGCCCGCAGTAAACACTCAACATTTTCATAATTTATTGAAATTTTGAAACTGTAGTTTTTATTTGGTAAAGAATTTCTCGCTATATGTTTAGTAAAGCTCATTTTGGTTATTTCTTTATTTTTATTATCATACTCACAACAGATATAACAGAAGTATTCAATCACTAGGGAACAGAAATGTCAAATGATGTTAAACAAAATTCGTACTCATATTTTTTCAGTAAGTGAAAAATCCTAAATTAACATTCTTGATAGAATGGGACATAAAACGGAATTCTTTAGGTGTGGATCAAAAATATTTCAGAAATTGATTTTAGAAAACTTAATATCAATGTACTCAAGCTTAGAGAGAAGTCAAAGGAATCATCGTCCTAAAACGTACTTTTCCATTCAGGTACTACGTATCTCACCTACCTACCAGCCACTTCCGATTGTCATGCATATAATCGCTTCCACGGAAACGCCTTTATAACGCATGTGCGTTTTTAATCTGCAATAAAATTTATAATAAAAATATCCAAAAATTGAAAAATGCAATGTTTAGCACTCGCCGAAGTTAAATATAGCGATAAACGTTTGTAAAATTTTTAAAGTCTTTTTATTTGCCCTTTATCTGCCAAAGAAAATACAACATGGCTGCTGCTGCTACTGATGCTCTCTGCTGTATATACAGCACAGTTTAGATGGACCTGAAAAAAGTAAAAAGTAAACTCTTTACAAATGAGTGCTACTAAGCTTTGAGTAAAGGTTTGAAAGAGAGTTCTTTTAACAACGACATCTGTAGAATTTGGTTTCCTAAAAGTGTTTGACCAACAGTTGTCTCGTCGAGATAACTATTTCGAGATAGCGTTATGTAATGATTGGTGGTCCTTGTGAGAGCAAAGTGGTCTTCCACTTTGTAAATACGAATATCACTCTGTTTACTATTTTGCAAATGGAAAAACCACACTTTTTTTTTCGTCTTCTCATCTTTACTACTTTCGCGATCGTGACTGATCTTATTGGCCTTGTTCTTCTTATAAATCATCACATAGAGACACAGTAACTGCTTTCTATTTGTCTAATGGTTAGACAAAATGGGTTGATTTATGAATTCTATAAATCAGCAACTCCATGATTAACTTTCGTAATACAAAAGTCTTAAGCAATGTAAAAAAAGCTTCAATAAAAGAAACTGAACCTTGATATAGCGCAGATGAAAGAAGCTAGCATAAGTGGTCGACCGATGATCACTAACTAGCGAGATATTTACGATTCTACACTGCAGAACGCGTTGCTTTGTGAATATCTCGATAATTCTAATAAATCATAAAAAGGAAAACAGGAAATGAAATCCCATTTCCTTCTTGTTTAGATTAGAAATCTTCAGCCAATGAATTTCTTTCCTTTAAAAACGAAAAAGTGTTTGAAATAAACACCGTTGTTTTTTTAAATAGTGCACAACAAATTTAACTCCGGTTAAGAAAGTTTAAGATAGGTCTACGTTTTCGAACGCACGCTGAAAACAGTTTTACGAACGCCGTTTGCTGAAAGTTTATTTGAGAGCACTTTGCGGTTTAGCGCACTTTAGGATTCAGAGCAACGTTGTTTATTCCATTTTGATTACAAATCCCATTAGAAACGCTGGTCTTGATTACTTTCATAACTCGATGTACCACTTTCTTTAATAGAGAAAATTAACGGCTGTATTGGGATGTGTATGTTTTTCTATTTGACGTTGCTTTCAGAGTTTTTATTTTAGCTGACTTGTTGCATTTTCAGTTCATATCATGAAAAGATTGGTTCTTGAATAACTTGTTATCTTTGAACATGAAGATTTAGATAATGTCAAAATTTTTATACTTTCTAAGCCTGAAACAATTCTCTTTCTTAAACAGCAAATAACATTGAACCTTTTTTCGTTTGTTTCATTTTAGATCTACTGTTTTCCTTTTAGTATTACTTCTGTACCATACGTGCTGGATATTAATTTATTATTTTTTTTTAAAATAAATACTTAGTTTATTACTAATTTTATCTTACTAAAATTTGTGCAACATTTTGCCTTTCACTCAAAGCAAAAACAAAATCTGTGTTTGATCTTCATGTCATCATCCAATTCGTGGCAAACACAAATTTTTTAACATAAAAGATTTTGGATTTGTTGCAAAAGTAAGTCCAACGTATTCGTTTGTTTTAACAGTATTAATCATCATGATCTAAAATCTCTGAATGAAGATCAAATGGCTGAATTTAGCATCGTTACGGAGCCAAAAGCACAAGAAGCACAGTAATCTCAGGTATGAGTCAGCAACGTTTCAATATTTAACGAACTATGAAAAAACAATAATTTAATTGATTGAAACATTGTTAGTTATAGTACACTGTCATAGTTATTTATGCCAAAATACAACACTGAGCATCTTTCTCACCATGTCACCATCAACTCATATCGACCAATTGCTTTTGCTTAGGCGATATTTCGTTGACATGATATCATCGTTGGTCTTGTCGATAAAACAATGATCATTTTCTATTTTCAATATGTACAGTACAAGAGATAGATCATTTATTTTAAAAAATAGTTTAGTGAATAGAAAAGCTAAAGAGATCCTTGTTAATTTGATGATGATATTTGACTATCTTACAGCCATGTGAGTGTCATTGACATCTTTTTTATTTATGTCCATCGTATTACTAAAACGAAAAATCGAACAATAATCATACTCCAAAGAGCATAAAAATATTTTAACATTAAATTTTAAAGGTTTTTCAATATAGTTTTTATAAAAATAAAATAATCTATTTTCTGTATTTTCTCAGTGTTGTAAATATATTTTCTCATTTTAAAAACAAATGTACTAATTAGAAAATAATAGTTTTAGATATGTAATATATAATTAAATAGTCGAGAAAAATTAACAACATGTACACTCTAATATCTGGATTAGCAAAATATTTATTTCAAAAAGATGATTATTATATATTAATTGTTGGATTAGATAATGCAGGAAAAACAACATATTTAGAACAAACAAAAACAAAATATTGTAAAAATTATAAAATGATGAATTCATCAAAAATAACAACAACAGTTGGTTGTAATATTGGTCAGATTGATATTGGTCGTATTCGATTAAATTTTTGGGATTTAGGTGGACAAGAAGAATTACAATCATTATGGGATAAATATTATGCCGATTGTCACGGTGTCATCTATATTGTCGATTCAGCTGATAGAGAACGTTTAGAAGAATCATGGCAAGCATTTGATCGTATGTTACAATCAGAACAATTAACAAATGTACCATTACTTTTATCATGTAATAAACAAGATTTAGATAATTGTATAAATGTACCAGAAATAAAACGTATATTTAATCAGTCAACACCTCGAATTGGTGTTCGAGATTGTATGGTATTAGCATGTTCAGCAATAACCGGCGATGGAATTAATGAAAGTATCGATTGGATGAAAGATTGTATTATAAGAAATTCAAAATCAAGACCGCCAAAAATGCAAGATATTGGATAAAAACATCATATATCTAATTTATTTTGTCATCGTTTACAATCTTTCACCTAATTATTAAATAATTATCGTTAGAATTACATAACATTGCACTAATGAAATTAGATTTTTTTTTTCAAAGCAATGATATCTTCATTTTCTACTAACACAATACGTTCTGCTCATTATTATTGAGTATTTTTTTTTGTACGTGGAAGAAATGTGGTGTAGAAAGGTGCTGAAATTGTGGGTACTTCTACAGATCGATCACACACTCACACTCCACACACACCACAGTAGGGGGTGTGATCGATCTGTAGAAGAACCAAATTGTGTCTATCGGAAATATAACAGAAAATCAACAATCGTCTATGCATTCCATGATAAAATTAAAAGTATCATAGTCTTTTTTCCGATAAGGTTAATATATGCTATGCATCTTATGACTAAAATTAATTAAAAACATTTTTTATTAGATGAAGTTATTCTCGTTCGAATCTCATAATTTGATATAAAAGATATTTATATATTGGTTTTTTTCTCTTTGATGATTGAAAATATTTATTTTCTGTTTTGTTTTAAAATAAAATATTTATCTGGTTAACTAAAACATATTATTTCTATTAGAATAAAATCTATTGTAAAATGAAAATCATGGTCTTTTCTTCGTAGAACGATTGCCTTAACGGATTTGTTGAATAGTTTTGATTTTTGGTTAACCCTTTACCCTCCCTCCGCAGCTAGCTAATCGTGCAAAGCGAATAGCAACTGCTAACTTATAGTGTCAGCATACGTTAGAAAAGAATCCGTTTTTCCTACGACACATCGTCATCCTGTTATAGTAATTCTACAATGTTCAATAATGTCCACGCCTATGAACATCCGGGGGTAAAGGGTTAAGATCATTCGTGAAAATTTGAATATGATATTACCAGTATCGAACGTTTTATTTTATGTCTTTTTAACAAATTGTAGATTCAATGTCAATTACTTTTCTCTCTTTTTCTTGCGTACCTCATTAAAACATGTTGTTTAAATGTTAATACTATGATATATTCACTTTACAGAGATAATTGTTCTTATAAATACAATGATAAGCTCTTTCTTTTACATTTTTTTGTCAAAAAAAAA